TTTATCTTCCACTTCTTTTCTTCTTTTTTTGCATGTACCCTTGAGAAATAAGGAATTTTATTGCAAGATCTAAAGAAACCTCGATGGGATTGAACTACTCCTTCATTTTGTGAGTGCAATACTTACAGCAGGGACATTTCTACTAAACTGTGTTTCCCTATGAATGTTCTCTGCTTTTGTTTTTTCTAGGTTATATTTTAATTGCAGCAACTACAACCATAACCAAATATTGGAAAACTAGTGACTTGCCAGATGTTAAAGAGATTTTATACTCCATTCTAGATAATAAACATCATGAATTAATCTACCGCACATACTCGGAAAATAATATTATATTAAGACAAGAATGGAATGAATGGGAAAGAAATGTCAGAAGCAAATACAATTTAGTAATATGATACCCATTTAACCAAACTATGTAAATATATACTGTTAATATTGCAACAACTTTCTGTCATTTTGTAAATATGATTTATTAAATAACTAAAAATTAAAAAGAAAAAGATATAAAGAAAACACATGGGCTATGTTTGAGAAGATAAAAAGTGTCTCCTCTCCTCAAAAAACATTTGCAGGCCCATAAGGGAGGTGAGGGGGTACAAAGTCTCCAAAATGGAAACTAACTCTGATAGACAAATGCCAGTGAATACAAAGATATATTATCATTTGACACAATCAAAAAGCAGAATTATAAATCAATATATCCCACATATTTAGACTGTCACTTACTTAAAATTATGTCCCAATATAATAAAAAGAACAAAATAACTGGCATTAGGATTTTTCAAACCAATAAAAAAAAAAAAAATATCAATATATGTTCTGTCAATTTCTTTGGGGTTCTCTGTGTCAAAGGTTTTTCAGCTGACAATATTGTAATAACTTCCTGAATATTGACAATTTTCTGAATAGGATACAATACAATTTTGGAGATGTTACTTTTGTTCTTTAGAGAAGTGAAATTAATTGGAAAGTGATTCATAAAATTTCTTATTCTAAAACAAGAAGGGGGAACTGAATTCTTTTTTTTTTTTTTTGATGAGCTTTTATAAATATCTGAATTTCTCTTCTTTTTATTAATGTTGACGGAGATAAGTCTTTACATTTTTGCTTTGATCAGTTAATTTAAATCCCTGTCTCATTTTACTCATCAATTGCTTTTTAATCTGTAAAAATACAATCTCAGAATAGTGTCTCTGGGAGCTTCATTCCGGGCTGAATTAGGCTTAGGGAGCCTGTGACAGCTGTCTGTCTATGGTTATGTGTAAGTTGGTAGAATTTGGTAAAATTGGTCGATTTAGAAAAATCCATTAGCTCATTTGTGGGTACTGATTCAAGGATCCGCAAATTTGCAGTTTATTTCTTCTCCTACGGTCTTCTTAAATTATATGTTTTTACGACTGAATTTCAATTGGTTTTCAAGTATATTCACATTTTCTTCTAGGAAATGGTGTGCTTCTTCGCTAACAGTTATTTCAATGTCTAATTTGTCAGTGTGAATTTCCAGTTCACTTAGAATTTTGTTAACAGACGTAATTTCTGCCATTATATCAGATCCAAAAGATGATTAAAAACATTCAAACATATTCTTCAGCATATTGTGAATTGTATTCTCCATTATTGAAAGTGTTATGGGGGATCCTCATCTTTATTGGAGTCACCCAAACTCTTTATTGAACGATGTTGAGGTGTGCTGCTCTTTCTTCTGCAGACATTTTAGATTATGGTCTACATTTGGAATCTGCAATTGTAGCTTTATTTTCCAGTTATAGCTGCAACAAGGAATAAGCAGTTAAAATGATTTATAGTAACATATTTCTCTCTTTTAAAACTCACAGAACTATGTTTCTTATCTGATAGCGCTCAGTATAGCTGTCATCTCTATTTGAAATTGAGAATGTTTGAGGCACAGGTACCTTATAATAATCTATGTTTGGCCATTACTGCCTTTTAATGTTTCATTCTTCTGTCACCTCAATTTGATGTTTCAATTTAGTCACTTTGAAATATATTTAAACTTCTTGAAACAATACTGAAAATTCCTGATTCCTAAAGAACTTCCGCTTTCTAAAGTGCTTTATGTGTGAAGAGTATGTCCTCTTTTTCATTTTTCAAAAAGTGCAGATTTCAATAGAAATTGGCACTTTTATAGATTAACCTGGCTACAGACACTGCTGGATATCAACCAGACAACTGGTCCTGGTACTTACGCTCTCTCTTAAATCCCTATGTATATTTAAGAAAATGGAGGTTATTTAGTTACTCCAATGGCCACTGGAGGGAATGCCCACCTGCCAACGTCAAGGCAAACCTCCCCAAAGATATCTCTAGTGAGACAGAGAGGGGTATTTTTTACACCCCTATATACTTATTAACCCTTAATAGGGAACACATGGGATGGGCAGCAGCATTGTAACCTAGCTGTGTGATACAAAAAGTGAATACAAATACAAAAAAAAGGTCCTGTGCTCACTCCCATCACACCTGGGCGGCAGCAACGACCACAATACACATCAGCCCTGTATCAAAGATAAAGACTGTGTCAAATGGAGTAGAAAAGATTGGAAGGACAAGTGATCCCTCCACTTAATTCTGGACACCACATCATAACACTTTGATACCTGGGCCTGACAGGGAAACTTTGGACCTTCTCATCTCCCCAGGTAACAAAATATAATTGTTAATGTGTTCCCTTTCACTTACCGAGTGTCAGGAAGCACAGAGTGCCGCTGATTGGCCAGAGCGGTCAGCAGGCACTCTAAGCCAGTCAGTAGTTCCCTATTCATAAAAAAGTAAAACATTTTTATGAACAGGGAACTAGCGATTGGCTTAGAGCGTCATCTGACCACTCTAGCCAATCAGCGGCACCTATTCCTGATGTCTATCTGCACTTCCTGACACTCCGTTTTTAGAAGCCGAATACCACTGAGCGACCTGGAGATCTGTAGCTGGAGGAAGCCTTTGAGGTTAAACCATTTAAGAGCGGTTTAGCCCCTTAAAGGAAAGAGAGGGCCCAAGGGTCTCCTGGCATCATAGCATTTTCATTAAGATGAAGTTGTTATGGTGACCTGAATGTTCCTTTAATTTGCCGATCTCTCTGTGGCTCGCACTGCTTTGCCTCCTTGCCTAATGGGTGTCCGGTTATTTATTTCCAAAATCTGGTCACCCTGGTTTTATGTGATAATCACTATGCCTCCCCTTCATGTCACTGTCAAGAATGGATGTCATTACAATTATGCCCTCCCCTGGAAAAATTCCTACGGACGCTTATGGTTGACATTTGTTTGTTTGTTTTGGGTGGGGGGTGCATGTAGCTGTTCTTGCCTAAGGTGTTAAATAGTCTAGCATGGACCCTGCTTCTCCATGCAAGCTTTTTAATGAAAACATTGCCTTTCACTAAAAGATGATGAGAATCACTATATCCCAGTCTAATTACAGATTGATACAAGGCTAGTGAGTTTTAGAATCTTTCCGAAGAAATGTAGCAAAGGAAGGAATTCTTATTGTAAAGATTATAGGTCGAAGGGCTTCTGTTACTGTAACTATCTTTCCAGGTATCTACATGGATCCTAGAGGGATTGCAACAGCCTCAATAATGATATTCAGAGAAATGGTATTCATTATATACATCAATGCTATTTTAAAAAAAAAGCATTTCAATAAATATGGAGTGCATTTTTCCACTACTACGGTGTGCAGGACATTTAGTTTTGGAGTCTTTATAGTAACAGAAAAAGGGATGATTTCAGAACAACACCAACTAATACTAATTGTCATTTTGCCAATAGGCTCAAGCAGTTATTTAAAAATTGTCTGTGTCTGTTATTAACAAGCATCTGAGACTATGCTGAATATTTGATTAAACACACTAAGAGGGTATTATCGTTCCACTGGTCTAGATTTGCTTCTTCAGCATAAAATCTCACTCTAACATTTATGTTACTCGATCTCTGTTACTGCATGGCACATTTCAGCTGAATATACTTCATTATAAAAGGTATTAATGCAAAATTATATAGAAACAAGGGGTTGGGAAAATAGCTGTTGGGACACTAGAGGGATACATAGAGATGGGGTTTGAGAAACAGGTTGAACAAAATAGAAAGATAGACAAGAGTTTGAGGAAAAGATGGTGATGACAAGGGGGTTGAGGGGTGATGGGAAAATGGGCATGATTATGGTGACAGAGACTGGAGCTCAGGGGTTCTTCATTATAAAAGGTATTAATGCCAAACTATATGTCACACATCCTTGAAGAAGTCTCCTGGTGAGGAACGAAATGCGTTGGATTGGCTGCTCTTGTTGGACTATTTATTTAATTTAACTTAATTTAATTGTGGATTTACTGGTGTTTCCTGCTGCAATCATCCTTGCCTTTGGACAATTTCCATCTACGTCCAGGTTTCCTGATGTCCACTTGCTGTGGAGGTATGCAGTTTTATCTTTTATGTTTGTAAGTGCATTTGTCCATTAAATTGTTTTTATACCATACAGTACTGCACTATCTTATTCTCCTTTACATATATAGAATATTGCAAAGATTTCTTGGGAGCAAGAAATTATTGTTGGAGATATATCCCTATAGGGCAATGTGCCTAAAACTTGCCACTATCTTGGGCGTTTTTTACTTCCTCCTTCCCTGCCATTGTTCTGTAACTGTGTTACACTATAAAAAAAAATTCTCTCCTAGATTTTTACACAAGGTTGTATGATATTTATTCATCTATCCTTTTGCGTTTTTCTTTATATATTTATGCGTTCATGTTCACAAAAATATATAATTATATATTTTCTTTGGTGTTATATGTGACATACTCTAGTTGTGAACATTTATCATAGTTTATTGGCAAAAAAGCACATAAAACATAAAAATATTTTTTTTCATTTTATTTAAGTTAATATATGTTCAGTGTTCGATTAACACATTTGTGGACGCTTTTATGAGTACAGTCTAAATAAATCAAGAAATTACAGCTTGGAACTGTAAAAATATTTAAAGTCTGTCAGCCCTCCTGCTGTGTTTTTGTTCAGCTGTGTATCATGGTGTTGTCCCACATTTTGTTGCCATTTAGAACAGTAAACCAAACCAGTATCCGAGGTGTCTGTGTTTTTGATAATCAGTTGATACTGTGTCCCAGCACTGTTTATAGTGCAGCCATAATGTGCTGAAGACATTCCAGGTCCATATTTAGGTTCTGTGTATGAATGGTGATGATATAGCAAAAGCTGTGGGGCCTCTCTTGGTAACTGACGGAGGAAAGCTATAATACCGTCGCTTTTAACTCCAACATCACAGTTAAGTGTAGCAGTTTGTCCTTTATTCACTGAAAGAATCGTTGCTGTTAGAAGTGGAGTCTGGGAGTCAACATCTGGGGAAAAATAAATATTTGGTTTAGTAATTTATACAAGAAACAATATAACTTCATATTATGTAGTGAACAACCTGGATGCATACATTATATCAATGCTATAAAATATGCAGTTAGTAGAAGATTCATGTTCTCTAATGGTGTTTGAATATTTGAAAGATCGCTCATGTCTTCTTAAATATCACCAGCTCCTCTCTTGAGAGTTCTATGCAAATGTTTCAGTGAAGCGAGCAATCACAAACTGATTGTAAATATTATGTGCAAAAATAATCTCTAGAATTCACATTTACTGAGGGTATATATTTCAAAGAGTTAGATTTTACTTCAATTTACATCTTTAGAGATATCTTTTTAAATATTGTACATTGAGTCGGCATAGGAACCACAGAAGATCTGGTGGGGAGCAGTCTTTAATTACAAGTATGCAGCATTTATGGAACATATGTTAAACCATGAAGTTTTTTTACAGGCAAAATAATATGCTATCACTCTTGGGAGACAATTAGTAGAATGGGATATAGCCCTGTTTTACGTAACCACCTTTTAATTTCCCTCAAGAAAAATCATTTATTCAACAAGGGTCTTTCTATTGATATTTTTTGCATCTTTTTGATAAAAAGTCATTTTTAAAGCTATGTAGAAAAGATAACCAGCTTATTTAAAATATGTTTTTCTCATGCTGTGCCATGCCATTGTACAGAACACTGGTAAGACCTCACTTGGAGTATTGTACGCAGTAACGGAGACCATATCTTCAGAAGGATAATGATACTTTAGAGAGGGTTCAGAGAAGAGCTACTAATCTGGTTCATGGATTGCAGGATAAAACTTACCAGGAAAGGTTAAATGAACTTAACATGTATAGCTTGGAGGAAAGACTAGACAGGGGGGATATGATAGAAATATTTAAATACGTACAGGTGATACTCAAAAAATTAGAATATCGTGCAAAAGTTAATTTATTTCAGTAATGCAACATAAAAGGGGAAACTAATATTTGAGATAGACGCATTACATGCAAAGCAAGATAGTTCAAGCCGTGATTTGTCATAAGTGCGATGATTAAGGCTTACAGCTCATGAAAACCCCAAATCCACAATCTCAGTAAATTAGAATATTGTGAAAAGGTGCAATATTCTAGGCTCACAGTGTCCCACTCTAATCAACTAAGTAAGCCATACCACCTGGAAAGGGTTTCTGAGCCTTTAAATGGTCTCTCAGTCTGGTTCAGTATCACAATCATTGGGAAGACTACTGACCTGACAGTTGTGCATAAAACCACCACTGACACCCTCCATAAGGAGAGAAAGCCTCAAAAGGTAATTGCGAATGAAATTGGATGTTCCCAAAGTGCTGTATCAAAGCACATTAATAGAAAGGTATGTGGAAGGGAAAAGTGTGGAAGAAAAAGGTGAACAAGCAGCAGGGATGACCGCAGCCTGCAGAGAATTGTCAGGAAAAGGCCATACAAATGTGTTGGGGACTTTCACAAGGAGTGGACTGAGGCTAGAGTCAGTGCATCAAGAGCCACCACACACAGATGGATCCTGGACATGGGCTTCAGATGTCGTATTCCTCTTGTCAAGCCGCTCCTGAAAAACAAGCAGCGTCAGAAGCATCTTACCTGGGCTAAAGAAAAACAGACCTGGTCTATTGCTCAGTGGTCCAAAGTCCTCTTTTCTAATGAGAGCAACTTTTGCATCTCATTTGGAAACCAGGGACCAAGAGTCTGGAGGAAGAATGGAGAGGCACATACTGCAAGATGCTTGAATTCCAGCGTGAAGTTTCCACAGTCTGTGTTGATTTGGGGAGCCATATCATCTGCTGGTGTTGGTCCACTGTGCTTCATGAAGTCCAGGGTCAATGCAGCTGTCTACCAGGAGATTTTGGTGCACTTCTTGCTTCCTTCCGCAGATGAGCTTTATGGGGATGCTGACTTCGTTTTCCAGCAGGACTTGGCACCTGCCCACACTGCCAAAAGCACCAAAGCCTGGTTCAATGACCGTGGGATTTCTGTGCTTGATTGGCCAGCAAACTCGCCTGACCTGAACCCCATAGAGAATCTATGGGGCATTGCCAAGAGAAAGATGAGAGACATGAGACCAAACACTGCAGAAGAGCTGAAGGCCGCTATTGAAGCATCCTGGTCTTCCATAACACCTCAGCAGTTCCACAGGCTGATAGCTTCCATGCCACTCCGCATTGAGGCAGTAATTGCTGCAAAAGGGGCCCAAACCAAGTACTGAGTCCATATGCATGCTTATACTTTTCAGAGGTCCAATATTGTTCTATGTACACTCCTTGTTTTATTGATTGTATGTAATATTCTAATTTACTGAGATTGTGGATCTGGGGTTTTTATGAGCTGTAAGCCATAATCATCACACTTATGACAAATCATGGCTTGAAGTATCTTGCTTTGCATGTAATGCGTCTATCTCGTATATTAGTTTAGTCTTTTACGTCGCATTACTGAAATAAATTAACTTTTGCACAATATTTTAATTTTTTGAGTATGACCTGTAAAGGGAATCAACAAAGTAAAGGAGGAGACTATATTTAAAAGAAGAAAATATACCACAACAAGAGGAAATAGTCTTAAATTAGAGGGACAAAAGTTTAAAATAATATCAGGAAGTATTATGTTACTGAGAGGGTAGTTGATGCATGGAATGGCCTTCCAGCTGAAGTGGTAGAGGTTAACACAGTAAAGGAGTTTAAGCATGCATGGGATATGCATAAGGCTATCCTAACTATAAGATAAGGCCAGGGACTAATTTAAAGTATTTAGAAAATTGGACAGACTAGATTGGCCAAATGGTCCTTATCTGCTGTCACATTCTATGTTTCATGTTTTTTAAATAGTAAAATACACTGCTCAAAAAATAAAAGGAACACTTAAACAACACAATGTAACTCCAAGTCAATCACACTTCTGTGAGATCAAACTGTCCACTTAGGAAGTAACACTGAGTGACAATCAATTTCACATGCTGTTGTGCAAATGGGATAGACAACAGATGGAAATTATAGGCAATTAGCAAGACACCCCCAATAAAGGAGTGGTTCTGCAGGTGTTGACCACATACCACTTCTCAGTTCCTACGCTTCCTGGCTGATGTTTTGGTCACTTTTTTGAATGCTGGAGGTGCTTTCACTCTAGTGGTAGCATGAGACGGAGTCTACAACCAACACAAGTGGCTCAGGTAGTGCAGCTCATCCAGGATGGCACATCAATGTGAGCTGTGGCAAGAAGGTTTGCTGTGTCTTTCAGCCAAGTGTCCAGAGCATGGAGACAGGCCAGTACATCAGGAGACGTGGAGGAGGCCATAGATGGGCAACAACGCAGCAGCAGGACCGCTACCTCAGCACTTGTGCAAGGAGGAACAGGAGGAGCACTGCCAGAGCCCTGCAGAATGACCTCCAGCAGGCCACAAATGTGCATCTGTCTACTCAAACGGTCAGAAACAGACTCCATGAGGGTGGTATGAGGGCCCGACGTCCACAGGTAGGGGTTGTGCTTACAGCCCAACACCGTGCAGGACGTTTGGCATTTGCCAGAGAACACCAAGATTGGCAAATTTGCCACTGGCGCCCTGTGCTCTTCACAGATGAAAGCAGGTTCACACTGAGCACATGTGACAGACGTGACAGAGTCTAGAGACGCCGTGGATAACGTTCTACTGCCTGCAACATCCTCCAGCATGACTGGTGTGGCAGTGGCTCAGTAATGGTGTGGGGTGGCATTTCTTTGGGGGGCCGCACATCGCTCCATGTGCTCACCAGAGGTAGCCTGACTTCCATTAGGCACCGAGATGAGATCCTCAGACCCCTTGTGACACCATATGCTGGTGCGGTTGGCCCTGGGTTCCTCCTAATGCAAGACAATGCTAGACCTCATGTGGCTGGAGTGTGTCAGCAGTTCCTGCAAGACGAAGGCTTTGATGCTATGGACTGTGGAGATGTCTGGCTTTGGCTTCTGGTATCCAGTACTCTTTTTACATTTTTTATTTAATTTTTCTTGGTTTTTCTGGTTTTCTATTCTGTGTCTGGTTTTCTTTATGCTGGGTTCATTCCTGTAATCTGTCCCTGGAATTCCCAGTGTCTAGGTTTCCTTTAAATGTTTGTTTTATGTTGTCACACCCATTTGTTTTCCATTTTCATATTATGTAGTGAACAACCTGGATACATACATGATATCAATGCTATAAAATATGCAGTTAGTAGAAGATTCATGTTCTCTAATGGTGTTTGAATATTTTTTGTTTTCGGTATAGAACAGGCATAGGCAACCTTTGGCACTCCAGATGTTTTGGACTACACCTCCCTTAATTTATATATTATGTAATATATACTTTTTGTTCCCTTTTTAAATTTTCTTTATTTGCCTTATTAGTCTTTTATATTTGAGCAACCTGTTGTTTGCACTATTTGTTCACTTCTTGTTGGGACTTGTTGGGTCCCCAGTTTCAGTTTGCTGTCTTTGGTCTACCTGCACTGGAACTTCCAGCACTTTACATTTATTTTGCTATTTTTAGTTATTAAACAAATTCAGTATCTATTAACACGCATCTTAGACTATACTAAGTGTTTAGTTAAACCCACCAAAAGGGTATTATCTTTCCACTGGTCTAGGTTTTCTTTTTCATGTCATGTGTCCTTAAGGGGTTAACATAAAATCATACTCATTATAGTCTCCTACTTATTTAACCCCTTAAGGACCAAAACTTCTGGAATAATAGGGAATCATGACATGTCACACATATCATGTGTCCTTAAGGGGTTAACCCTTAAGGACACATGATATGTGTGACATGTCATGATTCCCTTTAACCCCTTAAGGACACATTACATGTGTGACTGTATATGTACATGACATGTGTGACTGTACTGTATATACATAATTAGTGTTTAATAAACCCATTTGTGGACACATCATTGAGTGCAGTCTAAATAAATCAA